TTGGATATTCTTTACTGGTTTGTTGATTAGTTGACCATAGAGTTGTGGGTCCATTTCTGGGTTTTCTGTTCTTTTCCACTGATATGTGTGTCTGTTTTTGAGTTGACACACAATGTTACATTAGTTTCAGCTCTACAGCGTAGTGATCCGATAACTCTGTACCTTATGCTCACCACAAGTGTGGCTACCATCTGTCACCATACAAGGCTATCACAGTGCCGTTGACTATATTCCCTGTGCCGTGCCTTTCATCCTTGTGACTTATTCCATAACTGGAAGCCTGTGCCATCCACTCCCCTTCACCCATCCCCCTACCCCACCTCTCTGGCAACCATCAGTTCTTTGTATTTATTTATCTGTTTCTACTTTTGTTTGTTCATTTATTTTGTGTGTTTTTTTTCAATTCCGTATATTAGGGAAATCCTATGATATTTGTCTTTGCCTGACTTCACTTAGCATAATACCCTCTAGGTCCATCCATGTTGCCGTGAATGGCAAGATTTCATTCTCTTTTATGGCTGAGTAATATTCCATTGCATATATATACACCACTTCTTTATCTGTTTGTCTGTTGGTGGATACCTGGGTTGCTTCCATATCTTGGCTATTGTAAACGATGCTGCAATAGACATAGGGGTGCACATATCTTTTCCAATTAGTGTTTTGTTTTCTTTGGGTAAATATCCAGTAGTGGGTTTACTGATTGTTCAGTATTTCTATTTTTAATTTTTTGAGGAACCTCCATACTGTTTTCCACAAAGGCTATGCCAATTTGCATTCCCACCAACAGTGCATCGTGGTTCCTTTTTCTCCACATCCTCATCAACACTTATTATTTCTTGTCTTTTTGATTCTAGCCGTTCTGACTGGTGTGAGGTGGTATCTCATAGTTTTGATTTGCATTTACCTAATGATGAATGATGTTGAGCATCTTATCATGTGTTTGTTGGCTATCTGTATAGAGATGACTTTTTGTATCAGTATCCTAAGTGCTTAAACACAGTACCCGTGTATAGTGGGTACTTAAGGATAATTAATGATTTAGTAAATGTTTTGATAAGTGAATGAGTGCTCCATCACATGTAAGAAACTTAGTATAGTGAGAGATGCTTTAGAGATGAGAATTGAGCATACATAGTTTTCCTTTTTTACAGTTCACTGTTGATCAGAAAGGAACTTTTAGGGGTGCCTGGGTGGCTCAGTCATTCAAGCAGCTGACTCTTGGTTTCAGCTCAGGTCATGATGTCGAGGCCGTGGGATTAAGCCCTGTGTCAGGCTCTGTCCTTGGTGTGCAGTCTGCTTCAGATTCTCTTTCCCTTTCCCTCCCCGTCTACCCCTCCCTCTGCTTGCACACATGAGCGCTCTCTCTCAAATAAGAAAGGAACTTTTTATGTTTTAGAATCCCTTCCTTAAATGTTTATTCTTATTGTTAATATGCAAGAATAGTAATCTAAGAAAAGGCACGTTAGAGAAAAACTAGTGATAAGTAAGACAAACATTTTCTGATGTCCTAGAGGAGGTTCATGTTAATGTAAGTTGGTTCTGTCTGTTGGTCATTTGTACATCTTCTTTGGAGAGATGTTTGTTCGTTTCTTCTGTCCATTTCCTGATTGGATTATTTGTTTTTTGGATGTTGAGTTCGATAAGTTCTCTGTAGATTTTGGTTACTAGTCCTTTATCTGATAAGACATGTGCAAATATCTTCTCCTATTCGGTAGGTTGTCTTTTGGTTTTCTCGACTGTTCCCTTTGCTGTGCAAAAGCTTTTTATCTTGATGAAATCCCAATGGTTCATCTTTGCTTTTGTTTCCCTTGCCATTGAAGACCTGTCTAGCAAGAAGTTGCTATGGCCAAGGTCAAAGAGGTTGCTGCCTGTGTTCTCCTGTTCTCCTCTAGGATTTTGATGGATTCTTATCTCACATTTAGGTCTTTCATCCATTTTGAGTCTATTTTTGTGTATGGTGTGAAGAGTGGTCCAGTTTCATTCTTCTGCATGTGGCTGTCCAATTTTCCCAACACCATTTGTTGAAGAGACTGTCTTTTTTCCATTGGATGTTCTTTCCTGCTTTGTCAAAGATTAGTTGACCATAGGGCGCCTGGGTGGCTCAGTCGTTAAGTGTCTGCCTTCAGCTCAGGTCATGATCCCAGGGTCCTGGGATCGAGTTCCACATCGGGCTCCCTGCTTGGCGGGAAGCCTGCTTCTCCCTCTCCCACTCCCCCTGCTTGTGTTCCTGCTCTCGCTATCTCTCTGTCAAATAAATAAATAAAATCTTAAAAAAAAAAATTAGTTGACCATAGAGTTGAGGGTCCATTTCTTGGTTCTCTATTCTGTTTCATTGATCTACATGTCTATTTTTGTCCCAATACCATACTGTCTTGTTACTACAGCTCTGTAATAGAGCTTGAAATCCAGAATTGTGATGCCACCAGCTTTGGTTTTCTTTTTCAACATTCCTTTGGCTAGTCAGGTCTTTTCTGGTTCCATACAAATTTTAGAATTATTTGTTCCAGCTCTTTGAAAAATGTTGATGATATTTTGATAGGGATTGCATTGGATGTGTAGATTGCTTTGGGTATCATAGACATTTTAACAATATTCTTAAAATGCTTAACATCACTTCGCATCAGGGAAATACAAATCAAAACCACAGTGAGATACCACCTCACACCAGTCAGAATGGCTAAAATTAACAAAGTCAGGACACAACTTTGTTTCGTCCTCTGTGAGGATGCGGAGAAAGGGGGACTCTCTTACACTGCTTGTGGTAATGCAAACTTGTACAGCCACTCTGGACAACAGTATGGAGGTTTGCCAAAGAGTTAAAAATAGAACTACCCAGGGCGCCTGGGTGGCTCAGTTGGTGAAGCAACTGCCTTCGGCTCAGGTCATGGTCCCGGAATCCTGGGATCAAGTCCCACATTGGACTCCCGGCTCAGCGGGGAGCCTGCTTCTCCCTCTGACCCTCTCCCCTCTCATGCTATTTCTCTCTCTCTTTCTCTCTCTCTCAAATAAATAAATAAAATCTTATAAAAAACAAAAAACAAAACAGAACTACCCTACGATCCAGCAACTGTACTACTAGGCATTTACCCAAAGGATACAAACAGCGATCCAGAGGGGCACCTGCACCCCAGTGTTTATAGCAGTAATGTCCACAATAGCCAAAACATGGAAAGAGCCCAGATGTCCTTCAACAGATGAATGGGTGAAGAAGATGTGGTATGTATACACAATGGAATATTACTCAGCCATCAAAAAATATGATACTTTAGCATTTGCAATGACATGGATAAAACTAGAGGGTATTATGCTAAGTGAAATCAGTTAGAGATAGTTATGTTGATTTCACTCATATATGGAATTTAAGAAACAAAACAGAGGATCTTAAGGGAAGGGAGGGAAAACTGAATGTGAAGTCATCAGAGAGGGAGACAAACCAGAAGAGACTCTTAACTATAGGAAACAAACTGAGGGTTGCTGGAGGGGAGGTAGGTGGAGGGATGGGGTAACTGGATGATGGGCATTAAGGAGGGCACATGATATAATGAGCACTGAGTGTTATATAAGACTGATGAATCACTGACCTCTACCTCTGAAGCCAATAATACACTATATGCTAATTAATTGAATTTAAATAGATAAATAAAATTTAAAAAATAAAACAAAAACAAAAAAATAAAGCAAATGGGTTGAACTAGTTAATGTCTAAGACTACTCCCACCTCTCAAACTATGTTTTTATATCTCTGTGACTGCCAAACACCAGGGTACAAATACAAATAAAACTCATTTCTTGTCCATTAGCTATTTTAACCTTTGACCATGGATAATTTTTTAAAAAATCTTATTTCACTTTTGCTTTTTTTTGAGTAATAACTATATATGTGTGTGCTTGTGTGTTTGCACATATGTATATATTCGTGTGTGTGTATATAGGCTAGGTGCAGTTTATATATTGTGAATTTTTTATAACCTTTGCCCATATTTCTATTATTGTGTTTTAAAAACAATTTGTGAAAGATTTTTTTATATATTAAGTATTCTAGTTCTTCATTATAAATATTATAAGTATTTTCTCAGTTTGCCATTTGTCTTCCTAAAGGCCTTTCTCATCCTACAATTGAACAAATATTTATTTGTATTTTTTCTAGTACTTTTATAGTTTCATTTTTTTCCTCAAAAAACCTTCTAATCCATCGAGAATTTGCTCTTGTGTACAGCATGAGATAGGAATCTGGCTTTAGCCAGTTTTTCAGTATTTTATATCTTCCAGTGTGTTTCTTCTTTTTCCCTACAGCTGAGGAGTGACTAGTCTTCATTTCTGGATTAAAAAGTAATAGTTTCTTTGCATTGTGAATAGGGGAAATCATACAGTGTGAAGAAAAAGCATGTTGCCCTTTAAAGAAGTGGTCATATCTTTGTATGTTACAAATTAGGGTAGTCAGTATGTGGGTCAACAAATACTCTCAGGTCTCTACCTGTTAGATACATGGTACAATTGTATTTCCTGACCATTCTGGCTGGCTGAGGCCATATGACTACTCTGACAAATTGTGAGTGGACATGATGTGTGTGAATTTTGGGCCAGAGCATTTAATTGCTGGTGTGAGACTTTCCAGAACTCTTTCATATTGGATGGTGGCTGCCCCTTCAATCTGAATCCTTGAATGACTATGATGAGAAAAGCTCTCCTGTCCTCCTCTACCAGACATAGACTGTGACCAATAAATACACCTTTCTTGGTATAAGCCACTAATATTTGGAGGTTATTTGTGTCTGAAGCTTAACTTAGTCTATCTAGACTTACATACTCTCTTTCAGTATTTCAATTTGATTTCTTTGTCATCAGCTGAACCCACACTAGAGGGTTTTCTAAGGAGAAGGTATTCTTTCATGTACAGTGATTGACATGAAGGAAAAATAAGGCACTTTTAGAAAAAAATAAATGAAATAATAACTTCTTATTTAATTTGGGAGTAACTGTTTTGTTTTTTTATTCAGGTAATTTGGAGCTCTCATAATGTTTGCCAAAGCAACAAGGAATTTTCTTAAAGAAGTTGATGCCGGAGGTAACCTGATTGCAGTATCAAACTTGAATGACTCTGATAAGTTACAACTTCTAAGTCTGGTGACCAAAAAAAAGAGATTCTGGTGCTGGCAGAGACCCAAGTACCAGTTTTTGTCTGTCACCCTTGGAGATGTACTTACAGAAGACCAATTTCTGAGTCCAGGTAGGTTTCTTTGGGTATAGTCTACAGTTAGTCCCAGAAAAGATGATTCATCTTCTAGGTACATGCTGTCTTGAGTGATTGATTATAAGGTGAGACCTTACCATGAATTCTGTTTCTTTGCACACTCTCTTAAAGACATATCCTTTCTTTTTTTGTTGTTGTTAAGATTTTATTTATTTTGGTGGGGGGGAGAGGCAGAGAGAGAATCTCAAGCAGACTCCCTGCTGAGCATGGTGCCCGAGTGAGGCTCGATTCCACAGTCCTGAAATCATGACCTGAACTGAAATCAAGAGTCCAGCGCTGAGCCACACAGGTGCCTCAAGGCATATACTTTTCTTAAATGAACAGAATTCTACAGGCCCGACATGAGAAGTTATAGCTTAATTAAAAAAAATAATACTGCAGTTTTGAGTACAAAAGTAAGACATGCCCATTGTAAGTGTTGTGGCCACTCAGCAGGATGGATCTACCACCCAAAATCTGGTTTAGTGTTGCGGTTGATGATGCCACCTAGCCATCAGGAGGGTGTGAAAAGTTTTATTACTCACATAAGGAAGCTTTCTGGGGAGAGCAGGGCAGGCTCTCAAGCTGGTCCAAAAATAGCTAGAGTTTTCTCTAGGTAAAGAAATAAAATTTCTATCTGTGTAGCACTTTGTACAACCTAGGACTGTTGCTTTTATCAGAAAATGACATTGTTCTGGCCTAAGCCCAGTGGATAGAGTGAGCACTTGCTATGTGCCTGGCTCTGTGTTATGTGATTTACATACATCAGCTTGTAACAGAATCCATCAGGAAGGTATTCTCTCCAGATTACATCTGAGAAAACTGTGGTTCAGGGAGATGGATGTTAACAAGTTCTTATAGGTAGGAATATTAGAATAGTGATTAAAATCTTGAGCTCTTAAGAAGTGCTCTATGCTACTTCCCAAAACATTTCCCAAAGTGTTTGTATTCCACAAGATATAAATAGGAAAAGGCTTTGAATTGAGGGCATTTTCACAGTTGTCTCATTTTTGGTGGTGGTGACAGAGATGATTCTCTATTTTGTAAATTGCAAAGATAGTGATTAATGATTAATTCTCATTAATCCTTGCTGAGGAATGGTTTTCTTGACTGAAGTGAAGGAAATACAGGTGTTGAGGGCAGTGAGTGGATGGAAAGAAGCCTTTCAGACTATAGGCAGATTTGAATCCCTTAGAAGTACAACCAGGAGCTCAGGAGAGCCTTGGGTCAGGGAAATGGAAAAAGCCCAGTGTGAAGTTCCTAAGAGGCCCTAAATGTAGCTATATCAAACGACAGTGACTGACACTATTTTTATGGTGGTATTTGGTTGGATTAAAAATAAGAACAGTAGAAATCTGGAGATAAGAGAAGGCTGGCAATTCAGAAATGAGATCATCAGGTATTTATCTTCAGTGTCCAGATAAGAAGGACAGATCTTGAAGGCAATGTGATAGTCCCCTGGATGTGAGCAGATGAGGAACGTAGTAATTCCCAGAGGACTTGATTGAAGCTGGGATACCTGGTAGGGGGTGGCATCTTCCTAAGTCTGGGAAGCCAGAAAGTAAGGGTGGGGAGTCTGGAGCTTGTGTATCCCAGGATGGTGTTTGAGAGGGAGGGAGGGAGGGAGGCCAGGCATGCCCACTGACTTTATCAGGAGTAGAGATAAGGTATTGTATGATAAGGAATTAAATGGCCAGGTAGAGGTCAATATACACAGGTGAGCATGGGGTGCCTGGGTGGCTCAGTCAGTGAAACATCAGACTCTTGATTTCAGCTCAGGTCAGGATCTCAGGGTGGTGAGATCCAGCCCCATGTTGAGCCCTGTGCTGGGGATGGAGCCTGCTTAAGATTCTCTCTCCCTCTGCATCTCTCTCCCTCCACCCACGCACTCTCTCTCAAAAAAAAATTAAAAATTAAAAAAAAATAATAAACAGGTAAGTACGGGAAAGGAAATTTTTTCATAGAGATGGTAATGAAGGCCAAGGGAATGTTCTCCAAGACTGGTGGGTGGGAAGGGAAGATGCCCAAGCTCCACGTGGCTGACCTGCCAGATACGGGGTAAGGCAGACCACTCGGACGTGGGTCATGAGCAGAGCTGCTATTTTCACTCTGCTTCGGTGTCATCCTCATGAAGTCCCTTTACAGTCTTCACCCTGGAAAAGCACACATTGAAAATATTCTATTTAAAAAAAATTTTTTAATGTATTTTATCTGGATAGTGGTTAAACAGATGCTTGTTTTAAAGTTTATTTACTTATTTATTTTTAAGTAATCTCTACACCCAATGTGGGGCTAAAACTCACAACCCTGAGATCAAGAGTTGTGTGCTCTTCCGACTGAGCCTGCCATGGGCCCCAGGAGGCTTTCTTTAAAATTATTTGTTAAACTCTCCTGATACTTTTGGTGCACCTGTCTACATATGTATATATTAGAATTGAAAGACAACCACGAGCACCAAGTAGAGCCCCTGGCCACAAGTCCCACCATGCTCTCAGTCAGTACCTCAGTGAGCCAGCTCCATTTTCTTTAGAACATACACAGAACATGGCTGCCGGCTCTCCATTTTGAGTGCGAACTTCATGTTTCCTGTGGATTTCCACAGGATTGGGAAGGTAGGTGGCCTAAGGCAGCTAGGTGGCCATATCGTCATCAGATGCCTTTGCAAGTCTCATTCCCTCCAGTGGTCGTGGAGTCAGACTTTGTGAAATATGAGAGCAAGTTTCAAAACCACGTGAATGGGACCATCGAGACGGCGCTAGGGAAGGTCAAGATGAATGTTGGAGGCAAAGGACTGGTGGAAAGTCAGTCTTCTTTTGGAAACCTGAGGAAGCAGGAGGTGGACCTGCAGCAGCTCATCAGAGACTCCACTGAGAGGTAATGAGAATTCTGTTTGGCATTTTGGATTTTGGCATGTATCACCTTTAAAGGTCATTCAGTTGGACCTTTGTAAAAAGGGCAACAGATGGGAACTTTGCCCAAAAGCAAACATGATTGAATGTTGTGCTGAAACTTTATAGAGCTCGTAATTTAGCCTGGAATTTCTTGATTGTTCTTAGCTTGAGTGGGGAGACGTATTATTATTATTATTTTTTTTGATTGAGGTGTAATTGACATATAACGTTGTATTAGTTTCCAGGTGCACAATATAATGATTTGTTATTTGTCCCTATTGCAAGGTGATCACCACAGTAAGTTTAGTTAGCATCTATCACTATACATAGTTGCAAATATATTTTTTCTTGCGATGAGAACTTTTAAAATTTATTCTCTCGGCAACTCTCAAACATGCAATACAGTATTATTAACTATAGTCAGTGTACTGTACATTACATCTCTAGGACTTATTTCATAATGGGAAGTCTGTACCTTTTGGTCTTTACCCATTTCATGTACCCCTACCCTCCACTCTGGCAACCACTAATCTGGTCTTTGAATCCATGAGCTTGTTTGTTTGTTTTGATTCCATATATAAGTGAGATTGGGCTCTTTCTTCCTCTGTGTGACTTATTTCACTTAGCATAATCCCCTCAAGCTCCATCCACGTTGTCCCAAATGGCAAGATTTCCTTCTTTTATGTGACTGAATAATATTCCATTGTATATGCATTAAATTAGGTTCCTGACCCAACTCCAGCAGTGTCTGAGAATTCAACTCCCTGATGATACTGTCTACCTAAAGATAGTATCAGATTCACAGGGTAAGGGCTCAGTCCTAAAAAGACTGTCCTCAGCCCTTACTCTGAGTCAGATGCCAGCAGCAAGCCCAGGCTGTTCCTTGTGCTTCTGACTATGGGGGCCACAGATTGGAGGTTCCCACGACTCCCTCCTTGGATTTCAGATGCCCTTCACAAGTCCAGGTTGTTAACTGTACTTCTGACCAACTGACTAAAAATCAGATTCCCGTGATCCCCTCCCTGAGTTCAATTAATTTGAAATATGAAACGTTTTACATAGTAGAATCACTGTTTTATTATAAAAGGGTATAACTCAGGAACAGCCAGGTGGAGGAGATGCATGGGGCAGGGTATGGGCCTCCTGCTTTCTCCAGGTCACCACTCTTTCCAAATCTTCATGTGTTCACCGATCCAGAAGCTCTCTGAATCCTGTCTTTTTGGGTTTTTATGGAGGCTTTATCACATAGTCACAATTGATTAAATCATCATGGACCATTGGTGATTGATTCAACCTCCAGCCCCTCTCCCTTCCCTAGAGGTTGGGGTGGAAGTACTGAAAGTTAAAACCTTCTAATTACCTGGTTGGCTCCCGGGACAACAGCCCCCGTCTTTAGGTTACCTAAGGGCTTTCCAAAAGTCACCTCATTAACATAACAAAAGACACCTTTATTGCTCTTATCACAGGAAATTCCAAGGGTTAGAAGTTCCATGCCAAGAACTGGGTTGAAGACCAAATATGTATTTCTTACTATAAGTCACAATATAACATATATATGTCATATTTCTTTATCCATTCATCTATCCATGGACACTTAGATTGTTTCTATATTTTGGTTATTCTAAATAATGCTGCAGTGAACATGGGTGTGCAAATCTTTTTGAGTAAATGTTTAAATACTTTGCATAAATACCCAGAAATGAAATTTCTGGATCCTATGGTAGTTCTATTTTAATTTTTTGAGGAACCTTTATACTGTTTTCCTTGGTGGTTGCACCAATTTATAATTCCACCAACAGAGCCAAGGGTTCCCATTTTTCCACATCCCCTCCAATTCTTATTACTTCTTGTCTTTTTGATACTAGCTATTCTAACAGGTGGGAGGTGATATCTCATTGTGGTTTTGATTTGTATTTCCTTGATGATGAGTGATACCAAGCATCTTTTCATGTAGCCATTGGCTATCTGTATGTCTTCCTTGGAAAAATGTCTATTCAGATCTAACCACTTTAAAAATTGATTTCTTTTTTCTATTGTAGGAGTTCTTTATATATTTTATATATTAACTCTGTATTAAATATATGATTTGCAAATATTTTTTCCCATCCAGTAGGTTGCCTTTTCATTTTGTTGATGGTTTCCTTTGTTGTGCAGGAGTGTTTTAGTTTGATGTAGTCCCATTTGCTATTTTTGCTTTTGTTGCTTTTGCTTTTGGTGTCAGATTCAAAAAATCATTGCCAAGGCTGATGTCTAAGTACTTACCACCCATGCTTTCTTCTAGAAGTTTTATGGTTTCAGGTGTAACATTAAAGTCTTTAATCCACTCGGAGTTAATTTTTGTGGATGGTGTAAGATGGTGGCCCAGTTTCATTCTTTTGCATGTGGCTATCCAGTTTTTCTAATACCATTTATTGAAGAGACTGTCCTTTCCCCATTTTATATTCTTGACTCCTTTGTCATTAATTAAATGACTGTATGTGCACGTTTTTATTTCTGGACTCTGTATTCTGTTCCATTGATCTATATGTCTGTTTTTATGTCCAAATCTTACTGTTCTGATTAGTGTAGTTTTGTAATATAGTTTGAAATAAGACAGTGTGATGCCTCCAGCTTTGTTCTTTCTCAAGATTGCTTTGGCTACTCAGGGATTTTTGTGGTTCCATTCAAATTTTAGAATTTTTAGAGTTTTTCCTTTCTGTGAAAAATGCATTGGAATTTTTTTTTTAAAGATTTTATTTAGGGGCGCCTGGGTGGCTCAGTCAGTTAAGTGGCTGCCTTTGGCTCAGGTCATGATCCCAGGGTCCTGGGATCGAGCCCCGCATTGGGCTCCCAGCTCTGCGGGAACCCTGCTTCTCCCTCTCCCACTCCCCCTGCTTGTGTTCCCTCTCTCGCTGTCTCTCTCTCTGTCAAATAAATAAATAAAATCTTAAAAAAATATATTTATTTTATAGAGAGATTGAGAGACAGAGACAAAACATGAGCAGAGGGGAGGAGACAGAGGGAGAGGGAGAAGCAGATTCCCTGCTGAGCAGGAAGCCCAACACGGGACTCAATCCCAGGACCCTGGAATCATGACCTGAGCTGAAGGCAGATGCTTAACTGACTGAGCCACCCAGGAGTCCCAATGCATTCGAATTTTAATGGGAATTACATTCAGTCTGTAGATTGTTTTGGATAGTAGGGACATTTTAGTGATACTCTAATCCATTAGCACGGAATATCTTATTATTTATTTATTTTTCAATTTATTTTTATCAGGGTCATACAGTTTTCAGTGTACAGAATATTCATCTCTTTGGTTAAGTTTATTATTAGGTATTTTATTCTTTTTGATGCAGTTATAAATGAAATTATTTTCTTAATTTCTCTTTTTGAATGTTCATATCAGTGTATAGAAATTCAACAGATTTTTGCATATTGATTTTGTATCCTGGAACTTTACGGAATTTCTTTATTAGTTCCAACAGTTTTTTGGTGGGGTTTTTAGGATTTTCTATTTGTAATGTCATGTCATATGCAAATAATGATAGTTTTACTTTTTCCTTTCCTGTGTGGTTGCATTTTATTTCTTTTTCTTGCCTAATTACTCTGGCTAGGGTTTCCAGTATTATGTTGAATAAAGTAGAGAGTGAGCATCCTTGTCTTGTCCTAATCTTAGAGATAAGACTTTTGGATTTTTAAAAAAAAGATTTTATTTATTTGATAGAGAGAGACAGTGAGAGAGGGAACACAAGCAGGGGGAGTGGGAGAGGGAGAAGCAGGCTTCCCACTGAGCAGGGAGCCCGATGCAGGGCTTGATCCCAGGACCCTGGGATCATGACCTGAGCCAAAGGCAAACGCTTAACAACTGAGCCACCCAGGCGCCCCAGGCTTTTGGATTTTTCACTGTTGAGTATGATGTTAGTTGTGAACTTATCATATATGGCCTTATTATATTGAGGTATGTTCCCTCTATACCTACTTTGTTGAGAGGTTTTATCATAAAGGGGTGTTGAATTTTGTAAACAGTTTTTTTTATTGAGATGATCATATGGATGTTATGTTTCATTTTGTTAAGGTGGTGTATCACATTGATTGGTTCATGGATATTGAACCATCCTTGCATCCCTGGAGTAAATCCGACTTGATCATTATGTAAGATCCTTTTAATGTGGTGTTTTCTTCAGTTTGCTAATATTGTGTTGAGAATTTATGCATCTATGTCCATCATGGATATTGGCCTGTAATTTTCTTTCTTTTTTTAAATTTAAATTTTAAATTGACATGCAACATACTATTAGTTTTGAGTGTACAACATAATGATTCAATATTTGTATATATTGTGAAATGATTACCACAATAAGTCTTGTGTTAACATCTGTTACCCAACTGGCCTATAATTTTCTTTTTTTTTTTTTTAAGATTTTATTTATTTATTTGAGTGAGACAGAGAGAGAGCACAAGCAGGGGGAGCAGCAGGCAGAGGGAGAGAGAGAAGCAGGCTCCCCAGGGAGCCTGTTGTGGGGTTTGATCCCAGGACCCTGGGATTATGACCTGAGCCAAAGGCAGATGCTTAACCAACTGAACCACCCAGGTGCCTCATAATTTTCTTTTCTGTGATGTTCTTGTCTAGTTTCAGTATCAGGGTAACGCTGGCATTATAAAATGAGTTTGGAAGTGTTCTCTCCTTTTTTGTTTTTTGGAAGAGTGAAAAGGATTGCTGTTCTTTAAATGTTTGGTAGAATTCACCAGTGATGTCTGGTTCTGGACTTTTGTTTGTTGGGAGATTTTGATTACTAATTCAATCTCCTTATTAGTGATTGGACTGTTCAGATTTTTTATTTCTTCTGATTTATTCTTGGTAGGTTGTATGTTTCTAGGCATTTATTGTTTTCTTTTAGGTTGTCCAATTTGTTGGTGTATAATCGTTCATTGTAGTCTCTTATGATCCTTTGTATTTCTGTGGTATCAATTTTAATATGTCTCCTCTTTCATTTCTGATTT